AAAAGAAAGTTCAAGAATCCAGAAGTTCAGTCTATGAGGCTGGATGTCTCATCTGGTCTTCAGTACATGCCAGAATCCCAAAGAAGTAGGCTCTGATGCCTGGGAAGGAGTGGTCTTGCCAGGGAGAGTGTCAGCAAGTAGGCAAAGAGCAAGCGCTTCTGTAGATGAAAGTTTCTGTTCCGCCCGGTTCTGCAGCTGTCCAGTCCCAAAGAAGCACACAGAGGCCTATCTTAATTATAAACTGTTTGGTCTATTAACCCAGGCTTATTATTAACCAGATCTTACAATTTAAATGAACCCATTATGTTTGTCTATGTTTAGCCACATGGCTGGGTACCTTTTCTCATTGAGACATTCTCATCTCGCTTTCTCTGCATCTGGCTGGTGACTGACTCTCTGCCTTTCTTCTTTCCAGAATTCTCCTAGTCTGACTGCCCTGCCTATACTTCCTACCTGACTACTGGCCAATCAGTGTTTTATTAAACCAATATGAGTGACAAATCTTTACAGAGTACAAAAGCATTATCCCACAGCATGCTTCCTTCTTCCTTTATATAAGCTTCCAGCAAAGTGTGGTCCTATTTAAAGTGGATCTTCCCACCTCAAAAGATCCAGATTAAAGGTGGTTCTTCCCACTTCAAATGGTTTAATTGACAAAAGTCCCTCATAAGTATGCCCAGTCATTTGGGATTTAGTAAATTCCAGATGAAGTCAAGTTGACAACCAAGAGTAGCCATGACAGAGTCTAAGTATTGATAAATGATTGATCAGTGTACAGATTAGGAACTGCAGCTTCTGCCCCTGGGATGTTTACCACCCGACACTGCTTGCCTACAGAGTCCTCCTGTGGAGACTAGCATTCCCCAGCTGTACCTAATAAACATACCAAGGTTCCAGGTGGAGGTAGATGGTGTGTTAGAGAACCCCACCAGATTCTAGCTTCACTGTACAAATGTGTGTTCCTTCTTCACGCCCTCACTAACCCTAGTCAGCCACAACCCCCAACCCACACCAAGACCCAAAATCCTTGCAGGACATAGCAACACACGGTCTTTCTCAAGAAAGCTGTAGCAAGCACAGCTCCTGATTCTGCAGACAGGGCCCATGAGGAATTCTGACTCAAGTTTTCTGAGTTAAGATATTATATTCTATTATAGCACATGTAATTGCTAGGCTTTAAAATAATTAAAATATTAGCCAGGTGGTGGTAGCACACGCCTTTAATCCCAGCACTCAGGAGGCAGAGGCAGGCGGATCTCTGTGAGTTCGAGGTCAACTTGGTCTACAAGAGCTAGTTCCAGGACAGGTTCCAAAGCTACAAAGAAACCTGTCTCAGAAAAATTAAAATATTATTCTCATAACTTGAAATTCACCACTGAGAAGTTTTCATATCCACCATACATTCCTCAAAGGGAAACACTGTACCTATGCACAGTCTTTCAATTCCTCCCTCCCCTGACAAGCACAAATCTACTTTGTGTTTCTGTGAATCTTCTTAAGGTCCACCCATACTGGAGCATAGACCAGAGCTTCATTCTTCTTTATGACTGGATAGTATTCCAACTGCATCATATTCTATCTGGCATCTGTCAGTGTCCACTTGAGCTGCTCCACCTTTAGCTTTTATGAACACTGCTATGAATAGGCTCATATATTTGTGTTGTTGTCTATTTTCAATGGTCTTGGAATCTCTGCGGTTTTTATACACTTGAAATATGGGCAAACCTATAGAACGCAATGTTATCTGCTATGACGCCATACTCCTTACAGTGTGTTTAGGGCAGACCTGTTCTCAATAAGACTTGGTAGTCGGTCTCTCACCACTGAATCCTGTCCCCCCTGTATTTCAGCCCAGCATCTTGAGTTATCTACATCCATTGATGTGGACTGTCCCCCAGATTCCTATGCGGGCAGCTAGATCCCCAATATGGAGGTGTGGCAGAAACTTTAAGGGTCATGGGCCTTATAGAAGGCTGTCATATGACTCTTCCTGATGAATACATTTCTAGTCACCCCAGAGACGACAAAGACAGACCAAAGAAATTATCCCACCAAGTCTAGCTTGGTGAACCAATGAGTTTATTGGGATTACTCACATGGACGACTCACAAGCAGGTGCACCACCGAGGAAGAGCCTCCCTCCCTGCAGTAAAGTAACCATTCCTGTATCCTCGGTGTGGGGAAACAGCCTATGCACCTTGTGAATCTTCATTCACCTCTGAGTCCTTCTTGCCTTCCATATGGGAATACTAGGTCCTGCCTTACAGGGGCCTCATGTGAGCGGTCCGAGTTGTGCTAATTCAAGATGGCAATGACCACATCCAACCTGGGAGAAACTGCCACATAAGAGGTGGTTGGGTTATCAAGGGTGTCACCCTCTGAAGAAGTTAACACAGTTTTCTGGGACCTTAACCAGTTCTGTTAAAAGAAGGCCATTATTTAAGGGGGTGAACCCACAACAACAATAAGAAACAAAACAAAGTCAGCAAACCTAGTTCAGGCCTCCCTCAGACTGTGCTTGCAATTCTTCCATTGCGACACCCACCACAGTGTGATGGAGCCAAAAGGCTTCCCTGGAGCCAAGCAGATGAGGATGCATGCTCTTGGATTTCAACCTCTAAATCTGAGATTAAAGCAAACTTCTTATCTTTATAAAATATTCGTTTCAGGTATTCTGTCATAGTAGCACACAGGGAGTGAAGGGACCCATTCATGCCGAGTCCTTCCTTACATATGTTGTCACACACTGTGCGCGCCTCTCTTCTGCACTCTCACTGTGCGACTGTATGACTGCAGCACCTGGACTGACACCGACAGGGCAACAGTCAACGGGCAAATGAATCCTCCTTTTCTCTGTCCCGAAAAGAAGCAAGTCAGGCCTTAATTAGGCAAAGAAGCTCCTCCCATTGGTCTTGTAGTTAAAAAAACAAAAATCCAAGCAGATTGAAATGTTCAAGGTGAATCCTGGTACCCTTTCTTCTGCCACAGGAAGAATGCTGCCTGGATTGGGTGGGAATTGGAACTCAGGATTAGGCCTCTAGGAATTGTGTGAGATGGTCCCAAGTCCTGATCTGAAGCGAAACTGGTGAGTCTGATACAAGCCTGAGAAAGGAAGCATTCGCACACCCAGCATGTCTAGCAGGTCTCTGAGACAAGAATATGTGTGCACACAGTATGAATGAGTGTGCCTGAGTGTGTATCTGAACTCTGGGAGCTGAGAAAAAGCACTAGTGGCACCCCCAATGCTGGAGAAATAGAGTTAGGGAGAGGCTGCCGAAGAAAGTAAGCCACTTCCTGGACATCAGTTTTTCAGCCTTGAATGCTCCCCCAAAGATCCATGTATTGAATGCTTGGTTCCTAGTTGATAACCCCATTGAGTGATAGTAAAACTTTTAGGAGGTGGGGCCTCATAGGGAGAAGCTAGGTTACTGGGGAACATGTTCTTCAAAAGGGGTGCTGGTCCTACCCTTCCCTCCCTCCTTGTATCCCCCTTTCTTCTTGGCCTCCATTATTTAGGAACTTTACTCCAACATATGTTCCTTGCTGTGATATTCATCCCTCCACAGACCTAAAGAGACAGGGCCCATCAGTTATGAACAGAAGATTCTGACACCATGAGCTAAGATAACAAACCTTCTTCCGAGTAAATACAGCTTTGCCTTGGGTAATTTGTCACAGCAATATGATCTCTCTAAGACCTCTGAAAGAGTCGGTGTGATAAAGATGCAGAAGGTGTGGGTTCAGCACAGAGCAAGCTGGTGGGCACTTTGGTCAAATGTGCTCCCTTTACCAGCCCCAGACCTGGGTCACTTGTTATTACAGTATAGAGAGAATGGAGCTCAGTTTTGACTTGGACAGAATCACCTAAGAGTCCTCTAGGGTAAAGTAACTATGATTTTAAAAAAGAAAAAATCCAAGAGCTAGAACAGTGGTGTGAGTTCTGAATTCTAGCCATTTCAGAGGTTGAGGCAGGAGCATCCCATGAGCTCAGAAGTTCAAGAAGTTCAAGGCTACCTAGGGAAACATGGTGAAATCTTGTCTCTTGAAAAACAAGACAGGAGGCTGAAAGGTGTCTCATCCAGGAAAGGGCTGTACTACTCAAGTGTGAGGACCTGAGTTTGATCCTAGGAACCAATGAGAAAAAGTCATAGCATGGTGGTGCCCAGATTGTGCTAAAGGGGGGGGGGCAGTAAGATCTCTGGGGCTGGATGCCAGACAGTCTAGTTTAATCAGGGAGTTCCCAACCAATGAGAGACATGACTTAAAATACAAAGTGGACAGCACCTGAGGAATAGCACCAAAGGTTGGCCTATAGTAGGCCTCTACATACACCAAAACAGACAGACAGACAGACAGACAGACACACACACACACACACACACACACACGATCCAAGGTGCCACATTTTCTGTTTTCATCCTTTCGGTGCATTTAAATTTCAGTGCATTTAAATTTGTTCACTGCTGAAGTGAGGCTGCTTCTGGGCAGAGACAATCACAGCACTATTAATTGAGGGCCTTGGCCTCCCTGACCTGCCGGGCAGAGGGATCTTGAGCCTCCTCCCTCTTTCCCTCACCTCCAACTCATACACCCAGCTCTGCTCCTAGCTATGCCACTGAGATTCGAATCATATAAGAAAGCAGGAATGAGAGCCAGGTGGTGGTGGCGCACGCCTTTAATCCCAGCACTCAGGAGGCAGAGGTAAGAGGATCTCTATGGGTTCAAGGCCAGCCTGGTTGGCAAGAGCTAGTTCTAGGACAGCTAGGGCTGTTACACAGAAAAACCCTGTCCCAAAACAAAACAAAACAAAAGATACCAGGAATGAGAGAGGCCTCAACTGTACCCAATTTATGATCAAAGCAAATCACCCCAAATTCTAATATATTTACTACAACTAAATAAGACACTGTGGAGGGCTGAGAAGTTAAGGTATTTAGTGTGTTCATGTACTCTAGCCCGTGTTCACATGCACCATTCCTGCTAACAAAGGGATGACCAACCTTTATTTCAGCTCTTCATGGTTCGCTTCACTCCACCCAGTAGCTGCATCCCTGGAAACTGTGCCCTTGGGTTTTATCAACTGGAACATGTTTGAAAAGCATGAAGAAGGCATCCTGATCAAAGAAAGTCTGCAGTAAGCAAATATTGGAAAGTAGCGCTACACAGGCCATGAGCAACATGAAAAATGTTCCTGAATTGGTATGGAGAGAAAAAAAATTTCTGTCAAGCTGCTTTTGTATCATGATTAAATTTTTAAATAACATAATGCACATAAGATAAAATTTTAGAGTAGAATTTAATAAAAGTGGCAATAGCTACACAAGGGAATAGAATACAAGTAATTTATATCTATAAATCCAAACTTTATTAAGTGATGGAGCTGGAGGGATAGCCCAGAGTTAAGAAAGCTTACTGCTCTTGCAGAGGACCAAGGTCCTGTTCGCCGAACCCATGTCAGGCAGCTCACAGCCACCTGTAACTACAGATCCAAAGAATCCAAGCCCTCCTCTGGCTTCCTTAGGCAATTGCACATACATGGTGCATATAAATTTACACAGGCACACACACATATACACATAATTTTATAGAGTGAAGCAGTCTATAATTTAATCTTTAAAGCTAAAATGTAAATTATAAGTCTGTAATAAGTTCTATTTTAAAAGTCTGACGATTACTGGCTTGGGTGCAGAAACAACAGCAATATGACTACATCCAGAAGAGAACAGGCAAGACAATTACTGACAGTATAGGTGGCTTGCAAATCTTTATATTTCCAACAATTAAAAAGTCAAGAATGTTGATCACATAAATCAGCTGCCTATCTAATAACCTCTTTATTACTTATCACATCAAATGTAAACAAAAGCAAACTAAATAACTTTCAGTAAGATGATTCCTTTAAAAAATTAAGGAGGCTGGTGTAATGGCACATGTCTTTATCTATCATGGGAGGCAGAGGCAGGGGGATCTCTATGAGTCAAATCCAAACTGGTCTACAGAGCCAAGGCTGCATAAAAAGAAGCTGTCTCAAAAAAAAATAATTAGGGGCTGGAGAGATGGCTCAGAGGTTAAGAGCATTGCCTGCTCTTCCAAAGGTCTTGAGTTCAATTCCCAGCAACCACATGGTGGCTCACAACCTCTGTAATGAGGTCTGGTGCCCTCTTCTGGCCTTCAGGTACACAAAGAACATTGTATACATAATAAATAAAAAAAATTGGCTAGACAGTAGTAGCACACATCTTTCATCCCAACACGTGGGAGGCAGAAGCAGGAGGATCTCTTTGAGGTCAGTCTGGTCTTCAAAATGAGTTCCAGGGCAGCCAGGATTACACAGAGAAACCCTGTCTTGAAAAACAAAACACGAAGAAAAAAAAAATTAAGAGGACTGGAATGTTGAGTTGGTGGTTAAGCATACTTGTTGCTCTTTCAAAGGGCCTGAGTCCTTTGAGTTTGATTCCCAACACCCACATGGTGGCCTACAACCATCCATAACTCAGTTCCAGAGGATCCAACACTGTCTTCTGGCCTCCTTGGGAGCCAGGCATACACATGATACACACCTACATTCAGACAAAAGACATATGTATACATAAAAATGTAAATCAATTAATTTTAAAAATAAAATAAAAATTAAGGGCTGGGGATGTACCTCAATAACAGCATTTGCTTTGCCTGGATGAGGACTGGGTTAAATCCCCAGTCATGCCAAAAATAAAAAATTTAAAAGTGGGAGGATTTTATTTCTAGGCTTAAAATATCTTTGTCAGCTGTTAACAAGTAAACAAGATTTATGAGATGATTAAGGGCCTGGGGTCAGCGCCCTCACTCTCCAGGGAAGTCATTAAACTAAAACCCTGTATTATGGGAAAGCCTGGGACCACCCAGAGCCTGAGAAGGGACCCCACAGGGACCATACCTGTTTTGTGGTTTCACCGCAAAGTCAGACAGACGTAAACAGAGACCCCGGACTCACAAGCAGCCCCAAGTTAAAAATAGAGCAGCTGTAAACATGTTCTACTCACACAGATGGAGGGAGGCAAGAGTCTGCCTCTTGCAAAGCTGCTTTCCCATAGCAGGGAGCAGTGAGCAGAGATCCACCCCACAAATGAGCTCAGACACAGGCAAGTGCATGCACTCCTGTGTAATCTGACTGAAAGCCTCCAGCTCACCTGCTCTCTGTCCGCTCTGGGTGGCCTATGAGCCACCACAGGTGTCCTGCTAACACCCTGGCTGTGCACCTCTGGACAGACACAAAGGTCTGGCTCTGTAGCCATTAGATGGCTGATCACCATCCTGCCCCTGTCGATTATTATATGAAAATAGCCGAAGCAATTCAGTTTCACTGTCAATAGATGTCTGCTTTTACTGTCCAGCTTGACTGAAGATTGTAAACTCAGAAAAGAATAGCAACCTTTGAAAGAAGACCCAAAAGGAGAAGCAGGAGAAGCTGCGGCGAGTATTGACAGCCTCAGCACACGCCTGCCGGCGAGAACCGGTGCTGGACCACACGCCTGTCGGTCTCTAGCCGCCCTGGGTGAGGACCTTCAACTCCAGGCAGAACAAGTGATTTCATGAACACGAATGGCTCAGCCCAAGTAGAGGGAAACAAAAGTGGACTTCTGGGTGTGAAGGAAATGGACTTCCACGTGGCTAGGTTCTATTTCTCGTTGTTTCCTGGGGAACAGTACTTTTATTTCTGATTATAAATTTTACAGGCTACACTTATGCAAACAAGAATGAAACAGGCTCTGATGGTCACGAGCCCAACATCTCTACTCAGAAGTGGAGTGAGGGAGGCTTCTTGAGAAAATTCTTGGTATATATTTTAAATTAGGAAACCAAAAACACTTTCAAGATATTAATATTCTGTATTTATAGACTAGCTACAAACTACCCAAAAGCAACTATTAAATGTTATTCAAAGGGATTTCTTTTGGGGAGAAAGAGACCACCTACCTCATTGTGTAACCCAGCCCGGGACTGTCCAGTAGCCTGGGTTGGCCTTGAACTTATCACCTTCATGCCTCTGCCTCCTAACTGCTGGAATTACAGGTGTACACCATTGTGTACAACAATTCTTCAAATGCTTTTATATTCTAAATTATTTTTCTTTTTTACAATCAAACTTACTAAGGCTTAGCAGAAATACATTCTTCTAATAATTCAACTGGGTTAATCAAATTTGCAACAATAACCAAGACACAACCCTTGCTTAATTGAATATAACAAGCCACTACCAAGGAACAATTGTGCTTTGCAGGCCATGGGAGAACTGTCTCTCATGGTGGTGACTGATTGGCAAGGGTTAAGAGCCTCTACCAAAGAGGACAAGATGTTGTTTTGTAGCACATGCAGCTACTGTGGTGTAAATTCTCCTGTGGCGTAAATCCGATCCCAACCGGTACAGCCGGCTGTGGAAGCGGGAAGATAAGCCGTGCCACACCACCAGAAAGTCCACCAGAAAGACATGATCCTTTCAAAACCCTGGAGCAGAGGGAAAAGGAAATGCTGACAACCTGTGCTAAGTGGGGTGTGTTGAGGACATACTGCTGTGTTTTCAATATAATCTAGTTGTAAGCTATTGGGTTCAATATTTAATAGTGATCATGTTTAATAAACTGTTTATAAAATCAGTTCTTGCAAGCCAGTACTCACCAACAGGCTACTTTGAGGCCTATTAATTTAACTTTGTGTGTGTGTGTGTGTGTGTGTGTGTGTGTGTGTGTGTG